GTCTTGTATTTGCGGTCATTGTGAGAACATTGAACTCTAAGAAGCAGGCGTAGGGGACAGTTGGATGTGTGGTAAGTTAGTACCCGGGAGGTGGAATCCATCTCTTTAAGGGAGACTGAAGGGGATAATAACTTAGAGAAAGATAACTCGAGGTCTAGACAAATGTAAAGCTTTTCTAACAGTAAAATAAGTTTAGGTAATAACAGCAAAAAGTAATGTTTATTCAATGGGTACTTTGAACATACCTTTCATGGATATTTATTAAATGTTTGGAGAGATACAAAGTTATGTGAATAGAAATTTCCAGTCTGCGCATCTTTCTTAGACTAATCCTTACTGTCCTCATTTTAGCTCTGTTTTCATATTGTAGATAACTGGATTCTAACAATATTGAGTACAACCAGAGAACATTTGTTGACTCTGGCTGATTGACAGATTTAGCCATCTGTTCCTGAAACTAGTTTTTACTTTACTTCAGTTCAGTGTGTTATTCCTAATCGGTGGGGTGGGACAGACTGGAATCGCTTTCCTTTCACTTGCTTTCTCATTCTATAGACATTTATAGACACGCTGGATGCCAGGTCTCTCACTAGCTACTAATTTGGCCCCTTATTATATAAGTGACTGTGTCCCTCCGTGTCCTCACACCTTCAGGAGTAATGTGTTAGTTGGACATGGAGCCTTGACGGCAGTGTTACTCAGGACGTGGATGGTGATTTTCCTCTATAAAGCCCAGGACTCAGAATGAGTTCCACATTTGGAATTTGGTGTTAGTGATGGTGGTTAGTAACATTTTAAAGCTTTTGGAATTGAGTGCTATATAGTCTGATTTACGAGATTGATCTGTAAGTGTTCATAAGTATTCCCCATGAGTCCTAAGCCATACTGAAGTGAAAAGTGCCAGCTTCGACCTATATGAGAACTCTTAAAACACAAATTTGTTTAAATAAACAAACGCTGTAATAGGACATACTTGAGTTGTTTAAAATCGTTGTATCCTGTCCCTTGAATACTTTCAAATATTACATGTGGGTAAGGTCAGGAGGAATGTGTATTCTTCTTGAAGATTTTGTAAAAATATTTATGAGTCTTTTTATATGCACAGAAACTGCCAAAATAATTCAGAATAGATTGTGCTTATTAAATAATTATTGTTATATTGAGTCATCTGCAGTTGTGGTTAGCTTTAGAAGGGGCTTTACCCTTATTTGTGGAATTACTGATATCTTTAATTTGGCAATCTATGAGTATATGCTTAAAGTTGGGTTTTTTTATTTAAAAAAATTGTACAAAACTAAAAGCAGTTATAGTGAAGTTGTTTTTCAAATCACATCATGGCTTCTCTTAAGTGAGGCTAAACTGACTCTGAAGAATGTTCTTGTGCGTTTGCCAAGAGACTTCTGGGATGGGCATATTTTTAAGGACTTAGAACATAAACAACTGTGATCTGTGGCAAGAGGATTTAAATGACCTCATGATGACAATGAGAACAAAGCATTTTTAAGTTATCGTGGTGGTGTGTTAACTCATTGCAATGTGTTTGTCATTCTTCTATTTTGGTATATTAAGTGAGAGCCAGGCACAAAAAAAAACTACAGAAAGACTGAGCTTAAGATATTATTTCTTTATTACTAGAAACAAACTAAGTTCCAGAGAAGTATTATTTCCCAAGGATAATTTTGCATGAATTGTTTTAGAACTAGTGTCCACACAAACCACTTTGAGACAGAAGCCATTGAGACCTTAAAGTTTTAATTCACTTTCTGTTGGAAATAATATGTTCTAAATACTAAAGATCAAACACTTGGCAGGTAATACGAATCTTTCCTTCAAAACAGATCAAGACAGACGTGTTTATCAAGTACTTACTGTGTATTGGGTACTATGCTAAATGTAATGAATGTGAGAGAACGTGACTTTATGCTGTTTTTTGTGTACAGAGCTGCCACATGCAGGTGAAGCTGAAAAAGCAGGACTGTATAATAAATAATAAGCGTTATTTATTTACATGTTAAAGTGCCAGATGAAATGAGACCTCAGTTACATGATGCAAATAACCACGTAATACCCTTTCGTGCACCCGGCCGGTCATGTGGCTCTTGCCTTTATTCCCAGCTCTTGGGAGGCAGAGGCCAGTGGGTCTTTATGAGTCCACATGATTTCCAGGTCAGACCTTGTCTCATGACAATAAGTAGAAAAGTTTTAAAGCTTTCACTATCATCTAATAATACGCTTTGAGATTTGAAATTAAACTGATTGTATGCTGACCTGCATGCATTGTATGTGTTATGCTGTCTTGTTAAATGAAAACTTGTTATCAGAATTTTCTGCCTTCTCCATATGATGCTCTCACCTTACATTCCCTAGGTATATTACCATTTCATTTGAAGATCTGTATGTGACTTTGTATCACTCACATTTCTCCTGAAAACTGTTTATTAATGTGAAGTGGTTTTCTCATAAGAATGTATCTTGTCGGGCACTGTGGCATGTGCCCAGAATCCCAGCACCCAGGGAGGCAGAGGCAGGCAGATTTCTGTGAGTTTGAGGCCAGCCTGGTCTACAAAGCGAGGACAGGACAGCCAGAGATACACAGTGAAATCCCGTCTTGAAAAACTAAACAAACAAAAGAATGTGTCTTAAAGACACATTTGTTTTATTTTTATGTGTACGAGTGTTTTGTTTGCTTGTATATTTATGCATCCAGGCCATCCCTGGTGCCTAAGGAAAACAGAAGAGGGCATTGGGTCACCTGGAACTGGAGTTTCAGGTCGTTTTGAGCCACCATGTGGGTGCTGGGAATCAAACCTGAGTCCTGAACGAACAACCAGTGTTCTTAACTGCTGAGCCATTTCTCCAACCCCAGATACATTTTTTAATGAAAGATTGTATTGCTGGCATCTAACAAATTGTTTGGCATCTAACAAATCAGAGCTCCTACTGTCAGTATGTCATAAAAAGAAACTTGACAGTACACGTAATTTAACTTGGCACTTTTCTAAGGCCTAGAAATGTGGAGATTAAGTCTGCCTGACAGCCAGGAAATGGACCTAAGAGCTCACCTGTTTCAAACTGGCCCTTAGGGCCTAAAAGCACTGTTGTGGTAGTTCTGTATTTTTGGATGTCTACCAGGTATTCTGAAAGGGGAAAATACATTGGGGGGGGGGGGTGCATACATCTAGTCCCTACCAGATCATATTGCATACTGGGACCAAATGTGAGGAGTTGAGTGAGTAGATAGAGGAGAGGGTAACGCCTAAAGATGGCCAAGGTTCTCACTGCTACCCGAGTAGAGAATATGTAACTACTTCTTTGTCGTCTTTGAAGATAATAGTATTTATTTATTCGTCTGTTTTTGTTAGAAATTTTTGGAGGACACAGTTGGAGATGGAGCTTTAAATATTTATATGACACAAAATCCATCTTTTAAAAATAGCAAATGGCTGGGCATGGTGGCACACACTTTAATCCAGTTTGTCAGGGCCAGGAGGATCACAGGTTCAAGGCTTGTCTGGCCTACTTAGTAAGTTGGGATCCAGCCCTGTCTCCTTACAAACAAAATAAAATGTAACAGTGAATGGAATGATTCAAAATGGTCATTTTAATAAAAAGGTGATAAATCTAGTTCATTTTCCGAAATACATTCAAAATGCTGTAAATGCAAAAACAGCCCTGGCAATGATTCTGACAATGATTCTGACTTAGTGCCAACTACATTTTTAAAGTGCTAGTTTAATGATTGTAAAGGACATATGAGTCAAGAACAGAAATAAGCTCTTAACAAAAAGCTTTAGAGGTGAACCATGAAAACACAGCATTGGAAGAACCAAGCTATGTAAAGTGGAGCTGGTGGCCCTTCAGAGCTTAACTCCAAAGCCTTGTAGAAGGCTTGAGCAGTGACTCAAGGATTTGTTCTTCAGGTTTTGTTAGTCACTTACAGTGCCCAGGGAACACAGGCTTTCATGTGAGTGACAGGGAAAACTAGAGGTGATTTTGCTTAATGAGTTTGTAGTTGTAGCCTGAAATTTTGTTCTAGAATTTTCTTCATTCAAGTCTTCACCAAAAGGCAGAGAAGCGAGAATTCTTTTTTGTTGTTGTTGTTTTGTTTTTTTTCTAATGGTCTTTTTTTTATTTTAATTTTTTTTTAATTACACTTTATTCACTTTGTATCCCCCCATAAATGCCTCCGTCCTCCTCTCCTAATCTCATCATCCCTCCCCCTTCTCCACTGATAGGGGAGGTCCTCCTCTCCTTCCTTCTGATCCTAGCCTATCAGGCCTCATCAGGACTGGCTCCATTGTCTTCCTCTGTGGCCTGGTGAGGCTGCTCCCCCCTCAGGGGGAGGTGATCAAAGAGCAGGCCAATCATTTCATGTCAGAGGCAGTCCCTGTTCCCATTACTATGGAACCCATTTGGATACTGAACTGCCATGGGCTACATCTGTGCAGGGGTTCTAGGTTATCTCCATGCATGGTACTTGATTGGAGTATGAGTCTCTGGAAAGACCCCTGTGCATGGAATCGAAGCGAGAATTTTTAAGAGGCTTGAAACAAGTTTAGAGAGAGGAAGGTTAGACCTAAGTTAAAATTTGGGTTTCTTTTTCCTTTTTTTAAATTTTATTTTGTTTACTTGTTGTGATTTGTTTGTTGTATAGCCCATTTGGACTTAAACTCAACAGTCTCCCCTAACCTTGAATACTGAGACTATAAGTGTGTAACTCCCATGTCTGACTAATAATCGTTTTTCATTAATAACGATATAGCAAATGGCTAAATTTGTGGCTGTGTTTTGATTTCCTTTGGCTAGATGTCTCTCTGTCTCTCTCGTAGGATTTATCAAAGTTAGTTACCCAGCATTTGTGGTCGTGGGTGTTGCAGGTATTTTCTGTTGCGTAGACCTACTTACATGAGTTATGTTTGTTCTCTTGCTTTTTTAAGCTTTCAGCTGATGGGAGATACACCATTGTAAACTAAACTGTTTGGATTTTGTTTCTTCTCTAGGTCTTAAGGAGAGTGCAGAAGAGATGGTCAAAAACAAATTGGAAGGGAAGGATAAACTGACTCCTTGGGAACAATTTTTAGAAAAAAAGAAAGAGAAGAAAAGACTGAAAAAGAAACAGAAGGTATCCATGCTAGTTGACAGGTGCTTACTGCATAGCAGCTTCCTGTTGGAAGGTGCTTCACACCCACTGTTACCTCAGAGAATTTTTAAGAGGCTTGAAACAAGTTTAGAGAGAGGAAGGTTAGACCTAAGTTAAAATTTGGGTTTCTTTTTCCTTTTTTAAAATTTTATTTTGTTTACTTGTTGTGATTTGTTTGTTGTATAGCCCATTTGGATTTAAACTCAACAGTCTCCCCTAACCTTGAATACTGAGACTATAAGTGTGTAACTACCATGTCTGACTAATAATCGTTTTTCATTAATAACGATACAGCAAATGGCTAAATTTGTTGCTTCACCAAAAGGCAGAGAGCGAGAATTCTTTTTTGTTGTTGTTGTTTTGTTTTTTTTTCTAATGGTCTTTTTTTTATTTTAATTTTTTTTTAATTACACTTTATTCACTTTGTATCCCCCCATAAATGCCTCCGTCCTCCCCTCCTAATCTCATCATCCCTCCCCCTTCTCCACTGATAGGGGAGGTCTCCTATCAGTGTCAGAGTCTCACCACAGAGCCCACGCTCCTCTCCCCGGGGCTGGGATTGGAGGTTTGAACCAACACACCCATCTGCTATGAAATAATTATTGGACTTTTATTGTAATAAAGTGGGAAAGAAGTAGGATTTAAAAAAACCCTATCCCCTTGATATGTTACCTCTTTCAACAGCTTTCTTCAAAACTTAGGTAGACAGATAAATATATTAATAGAATAATTCCACACATGATGAAGCTAGCAATTTCTGGGAAGGTTTCCTAAGTGAGTCTGTATGGGAATGGGAAAGTAGTCATTCTGAGACTCTAAACAGCACTCTGTAAGCTTTGGACTTCCCTTAGCTTTCACTTTTCTTTTTTTCTGGTTTTTGTTTTTATTTGTTCAAGACAGGGTTTCTCTCTGGCTGTCCTGGAACTCTGTAGATGAGGCTGACTCTTAACTGAAGGATCCTCCACCTCTGCCTCCTGACTGCTGGGATTAAAGGTGTGCACTGCCACCTGGGATACTTTTTTTTTTTTTTTTTTTTTTTTTTTTTTTTTTTTTCCTTTTGGACAGTCTGGACTTTTTTAATTACAGTTTTTATTCTCCCCTTCCTCTTCTTCCTCCATGTCATCCCCTTCCCGTTCAAATTCATGGCCTCTTATTCACTATTGTTCTTACAAATATATGTGAATAATACATACATACAACATGCTGAGCCTGTTTAATGTTGCAAATACATGTTTTCAGAGCAAACCACATATTTGGTAACCATTTGAGGTGTTCCTCTCTAGGAAGGACTAAATCTTCCTCTGTGAGAAATTTTTGATTGCTTGTGGCTCTTCGTCTCCACATTGTGCCCTGTGGGCTTTCAAAATCTGTTTGGAATGTCAGCACAGTGGCCTGTCATTGTTCAGGTGCCCACACTGCTGAGATTTCATGGGTGCAGCTTCCCTGTGGTACCTAGAAGACAGTCTTCTGCTTACCTCATTCAGTATCGTAGTTTTTAGTTCTGTTTATCTGTGACGTTCACGATGGTTTTTCTTCACAGCTGAAGAGTATTCCCTAGTCTATATGTCACTACGTCTTTCTTATTCATTCATCAGGTAAAAGGTATTTAGGTTGCTTCCGTTTCATTGCTGTCGAGACTAGAGCAGCAGTGAACTTTGCCAAGCAAGTATCTGGGGAGTAGGATGTCGGGCATGTACCAAGGACAGGAGTGTAGCTGAGTCATGTCGTAGATTAGTTTTAACTTTTCAAGACTTCTCCACACTTATTACCAAAGTGGCTACGCCAGATTGCAATCCCACCAACAGTAAATGAGGACCCACTGTTCCCCACGTCCTCTCTCCAGAATCTGTTGTCACTTTTTTTGTTGATCTTCATCATCCTGGCTGGTGGAAGATTTAAAACTCAGTTGTTTTGATTTGCATTTCCCTAACTGCTAAGGATGATTGGTATGGGGGGGGGGTATTTTGCTTTGTTAGCTACTTTTATTTCTTTTGACTCTGTTCTTTTGACTATTCTGAATGGAAATCATCTCTCATATGTTTACTTGCAAGGATTCCTTCCCATCCTGTGGGCTTCCTCTTTACTCGACTGATTATTTCTTTAGCTGTGGAGACGCTTTTTAGTTTTATGAAGTCCTGTTTGTCAGTTGTTGGCCTTAATTGCTAAGCAAATGGAGTCCTCTTCAGAAAGTCCTTTCCTACACATGTATCATGTAGGATACTGCCCATGTTTTCCTCCATCCATTTCACTTGGGAATGGAGTGTGTCCATGATCTCTGTCTCTTTGTGTTTGTTCGCAGTATATAGAACAGCTATTGATTTATGTACGTTGATTCTGGTTCCTGCCACTTTCCTAATTTTTTTTTATATGAAAGAGGTTTATTGGATGGCGATGAAGAGAGAGAGAGAGACATGATAGAGGGAAGAGGGGTGGGTACCCTGACAGAGAAAGGGTAGAGAGCAGGAATGAGAGAATAAGAGGGGAAGAGGGCCCCTAATTTTTTTTTTATCATTTCTAGATGTTTTGGAGTAGAATTTTGGGGATGCCATCTAAAATTGGGGTATTTTGACTTCTTTTTTCTTATTTGTGATCCTTTAATTTCATTCTTGCCTTGTTGCTCCAGCTAGTGCCTCAAGCACAATAATGGAAATGAGTGAAAATAGTGGATGGCCCTGTCTTCTTCCTTGCTTCAAGTTGTTCATTTAGGAAGGTGTTGGTTGTGGGTTTAACACTTACGGCTTTTATTATGCTAAGGTTTATTCCCTCCAGTACTACTCTCTCTTGAACTTTTATTATGATGGCTGGATTTTTTTTAACTTTTTTTAAATTTTTTATTAATTACATTTTATTCATTTTCTATCCCCCCATAAGCCTCTCCCTCCTCCCCTCCCGATCCCACCCTCCCTCCCGGTTCTGCATGCATGCCCCTCCCCAAGTCCACTGATAGGGGAGGTTCTCCTCTCCTTTCCGATCCTAGTCTGTCAGTTCTCGTCAAAAGTGGCTGCATTGTCCTCTTCTGTGGCCTGGTAGGGCTGCTCCCCCCTCAGGGGGAGGTGATCAAAGAGCAGGCCAATCAGATTGTGTCAGAGGCAGTCCCTCTTCCCATTACTAGGTAACCCACTTGGACACTGACCTGCCATGGGCTACATCTGTGCAGGGGTTCTAGGTTATCTCCATGAATAGTCCTTGGTTGGAGTATGAGTCTCTGGGAAGTTCCCTGTGTTCAAATTTTCTTGTTCTGTTGCTCTCCTTGTGGAGTTCCTGTCCTCTCCAGCTCTTACTATTTCCCACTTCTCACATAAAATTCCATTCACTCTGCCCGACAGTTGGCCATCAGGCTCAGCATCTGCTTTGATAGTCTGCAGGGCAGAGGCTTTCAGAGGCCCTCTGTGGTAGGTTCCTAGTTTGTTTCCTGTTTTCTTCTTCTGGCTTTCAGAGGCCCTCTGTAGCAAGTTTCTAGGTTGTTTCCTGTTTTCTTCTTCTTCTGATGTCCATCCTCTTTGCCTTTCAGGTGGGGATTGAACATTTTAGTTAGGGCCCTCTCTCTTGCTTGGTTTCTTTAGATGCATAGATTTTAGTGGGTTTATCCTATGTTGTATGTCTATATGAGTGAGTATATACTGTGTGTATCTTTTTGCTTCTGGGACAACTCACTCAGGATGATCCTTTCCAGGTCTCACCATTTACCTGCAAATTTCATGATTTCCTTATTTTTCATTGCTGAGTAATGTTCCATTGTATAGATGTACCACAATTTCTGCATCCATTCTTCAGTTGAGGGGCATCTGGGTTGTTTCCAGCTTCTGGCTATTACAAATAAAGCTGCTACAAACATGGTTGAGCAAATGTCCTTTTTGTGTACTTGAGCCTCTTTTGGATATATGCCTAGGAGTGGTATGGCTGGATCTTGAGGAAGCGCTATTCCTAGTTGTCTGAGAAAGCGCCAGATTGATTTCCAGAGTGGTTGTACCAGTTTACATTCCAACCAGCAGTGGAGAAGGGTTCCCCTTTCTCCACAGCCTCTCCAGCATGTGTTGTCACTTGAGTTTTTCATCTTGGCCATTCTGATGGGTGTAAGGTGAAATCTCAGGGTTGTTTTGATTTGCATTTCCCTAATGGCTAATGAGGTTGAGCATTTCTTTAAGTGCTTCTCTGCCATTCGATATTGCTCTATTGAGAATTCTCTGTTTAGCTCTGTTCCCCATTTTTTAAGTGGATTACTTGGTTTGCTGCTTTTCAGCTTGTTTAGTTCTTTATATATACTGGATATGAGTCCTCTATCAGATAGAGGGTTGGTGAAGATTCTTTCCCAATCTGTAGGCAGTCGCTTGGATTTGATGACGGTGTCCTTTGATTTACAGAAGCTTTTCAGTTTCATGAGGTCCCATTTATTGATTGTTGCTCTTAGAGCCTGTGCTGTTGGTGTTCTGTTCAGGACTTCAGTTTTGTGCAGGGTGATAAGTATGGATCTATTTTCATTTTTCTACATGTAGACATCCAGTTGGACCTGATGGCTGGATTTTTGTTAAGGGTTTTTCGGCATGTACTGATCATGTCATTTTTCTCTATGTGATTTGTTATATGTATTAGCTTGCATATGTTGCGCCATCCTTACATCTGTAGGATAAAGCCAACTTGGTCATGGGGAGTGATCTCTCTGTGTCTCTCTCTCTCTGTCTCTCTCTCTTTTAAGATTTAATTATTTTATGTGTGTGAGTGCTCTGTCTGCATGTGCACCCTGCATGCCAGAAGAGGGTATCAGATCCCATTATAGATGGCTGTGCGCTACCATGTGGTTGCTGGGAATTGAAGAGCAGACAGTGCTCCTAACCGCTGAGCCATCTCTCCAACCCCTGAGTTGATATCTTTTTGATATGTCTATCTTCAGCTTGCAAGTATTTTATTGAGAATTTCTTTTTAGTCCATGTTCATCAAAGATCTTGGCCTTTTTCTGTTGTGTCTTTACCTGATTTGATATTAGAATGATGTTGTCATGCATCGTAGTAGAGTTTGAGAGTACTTCTGTTTCTAAAATTCTTCAAAAATATAAGAAAATTGGCTTAAATCTTTGAAAGTGTGAATTCATCTGGGCCTGGGCTCTTTTTTAAAAAACAGCTCTTATTATTACTTTTTCAAACTCATTTGTTATGAGTCTGTTTAGATTGTTGTAACTTTGGTAGTTTGGATAACTAGAAGTTCATTCATTTCTTTTTAGATTTTCCAACTTAATGGCATATGGGTTTTTTAATTATTCTTTTATAATATTCTGAATTTCTTTTATCTCTGTTGTAATATTTTCCTGTTTATTTTTTATTTTGTTAACTTAGATCCTCTTCATTCTTTTGGTCTTTTGGTTAGTTAGTCCAAGGTGCTGTCAACCTTGTTTATCTTCTCATAGAACTAGCTCTTAGATATGTTGATTCTTGCATTGTTTTCATTGTTTAGATTTCGTTGGTTTCTGCTCTGATTTTTATTATGTCTTGCCATCTACTGGATTTGTTACAATTTTTCCAGAATTTTTAGTTGCATCATTAAGTCATTTATTTGTGCTTTTTATAATTTTGTAATGTAGGCACTTAGGGCTATAAATCTCCCTTGCAGGACTGCTTTCAATGTCTCCCAGAGATTTTGTTGCGTTGTGGCTTTACTTTCTTTTAGTTCCAGGAAACTTTTTTCTTTCTTGTTTTCTTCTTTGAATCCATTCATTTTCCAGTAATGAGCTGTTTAATCCCCCGAGTGTGTGTACTTTCTGGAGATTTGTTTGGTATTGATTTTAGCATTTATTTCACTATGGTCAGGTAGAATACATGGAATTATTTGGTTTTTCTGATTTTGTTAAGAATTGTTATGATATGAATTGAATGATATGGTCTCTTATAGAGAAGCTTTCATGGGCTGCTGAATAGAATGCTTTTTTGGGGGGTCTTTGGGTAGATATCTGTTAAGTCCATTGGATTATTTATTTTTCATGTCTATGTTCATTTTTTGTCCAGATGACCTGTGTTTTGGAGGAAATGGGGTATTTAAGTCACCTACTATTAGTGGATTGATATTAATCTGCTTTTAATTATAGTACACATGAAATTGAGTGCACCAATTACATAGTTGTTAAGATAGTGTCTTCTTGCTTAACTCTTCCCGTGATTAAAATGAGGTGTCCTTCATCTCTCCTCAACTATGGCAGATGGCTTTGCTGAGTATAGTAGTCTAGGCGGGTGCTCGTGTAGACGTCGGAGTTCATTGCTCCTCTGGCTTTCAGAATTACCCCTGGGAAATCAGCTCTTATTCTGATGGGTTTTCCTTTTTATGTGACTTGAGAGTTTCGTCTTGGATTTTCAGTGCTCTGCTCTGTCTAAATGTTTAAGTATGGTATGCTGTGGGAGGTTTACTTATGGTCTTATCTACTTGGTAACAGCTGTTCTTCTTAGATCACCTGAGTATGTCTTTCCTTAGGTTGAACATTTCGTTCTATGATCCTTTTGAATATCTTGTCTGTGCCATTACCGGGGATCATGCCTATAATCCAAAGAATTGGTCTTTTCATGAGTCCAACTCCTTTTCTGTGTTTTCTTTTGTGTTTCTAATTTTGTATGTGTGTGTGTGTCTGTCTGTCTGTTTAAGTGTATGTGCATCTTTGCGTATGTGCAGGTGCACAAATAGGCCGTTAGAAGCCCGAATTGTGTGTTAGTTCCTTTGGGACTGGAGTTAAAGCTGGTTGTGAGCCACTTGACATGGGTCCTGGTATCAGAACTTTGGTTTTTATGACAAAGTAGTGATTGTATTAACCACTGGGTCATCTCCCCAGTCCAAGATCATTTTTTAAACAGAATATGTAAACAGAGCATTAATCTATATATTTTAAAATGTTATGATAGAAAAGTCGTTTCCCTTAACAAGCAAATAGATTGTTGTAAATATCTGAAGTACCCTCTGTGCGACTTTTAGTTATTGGTACTCATTGCTGTCTCTCACCTTTAAGGCTCTTGCTGAAGAAGCAAGTGAAGCAAGTGAAGATGAGCTTCCTTCTGATGTTGATTTGAATGATCCCTACTTTGCTGAAGAAGTTAAGAAAATAGGTAAGCCAGCCTGTATTTGTGATTTTCAGCTGGAATCCACAGAAAAAAAGTTATGATATTGGTTGAAATAATACAGACTAGCAATTCTCTTAAAATTGCTAGAATTTGGATAGCTCCATTGATGGTTTATAACCAACCGTCCTGTAGATTCAATCATAAATCATATTGAGGAGTAAACGTGCCCCTGTACATAGAAGCTGCAAAGGGATTTCATCATAAAATACTTTTTTAAGAGTTAACCTTACTTTTACCTATGTGTATGACTGCTCTGCTTCTGCATGCAGTGTCTGAGGAAGCCAGAGAGCAAGGCAGAACACCTGGAACTAGAGTGACAGATGTTTGTGAGCTGCCATATAAGTGCTGGGAGCCTAACCTGGGTCCTGTACAAGAGCAATAAATACTTTTGACTGCTTAGCCATCTCTACAGGTCACTCATTAGGAGGCTTTTTAATAGCAATTTAATGGAGCTTTTTTTTTTTTTCTGGAAATTACCTTTATAGCTAACCAAATGGGCTCTAAAAGAATAATAGAATTTAGAAGAAAGAATAGTCTCTTTACATGATAATACTTCTAATCCATGTCTCTCTCTCTGTAAAGGCAATGAAAATTAAAAGTGAAATGTATTTGTCGTGGCATGTATATAATTTTCAAATGTATACATGGAATATAGTATAGCCATTTCTGTTCAAATATACAAAAGCATCTATGCTTAATGTTTAATTCCTTCTGCACTTAGCCTTGTTAAATGCAGTTAAAAATCAGCTTTTCTCATGGCTCCCTTCTCTTCAGATCCCTAAAGTAACATGTCTTACTTCCCGTATCCATGTTGTTCATACCACATCTGCTTTCCAGATGCCTTCATTCTTACCTTTGGGTGTATGTGAGTGTTTGGAAAGGTAGACGCCATAGTTGGGCAGGTCAGTGCAGAAACCACTGTAACTGTTTCCAGTTGCTGTTGTGAGCTTTGCCTGCCCCTTCTTTTTTGCCACACACATGAGCTTCCAAAGGCTTGCTCTTGAAACAACTCCAAGCTGGCATTGTAAAGAGAAGTACTTTATGAAGTTTCCCTGCTTCTTCTCCCTCCCGACCGGTGGGCCAGACAGTTTTCAACAGGAAAATCAGAATTACTTAAAATTATTTCCTGGTTGCTATAGCCTCTTAGCACTGATGTGTTATTGATGAAAAGGAGATTAAGTCGAATAAATTCTATTATAGGATATGAGATTCATAGGAGTTGGAAAGGGAAATGGAAACCTAGCATATTTGCTTTCTGTTATACCTGTGTGATCATTTCTAACAGATGATGAATTTTAGCCTTATCCTCTGGCTAAAACAAAGTTTATAATGAAGAGATGTGAAACATTAAAGTTTCCTTGTTCTGTGTCCAAAGTGTTGCATTTGACAAATGTAATCTGGTCAGCCTGCAGAACTCGGAGCAGGATTCAAAGAATAACCAAGCTAGTTCATTGGCATGGGGTAGCTGATTCCTGTACATAAGTAAAAAAAGGTTGTATCTTTTAAAGTATGTGCCTTCAGATGTAAGGGTTAGCAGTGGGTTCTTTTTTCCTCCCAGTACTGGTTAGACAAATAAAAAGTTATTTTTAAGGGGAACTGGATGTTAGCTCAATTTTATTGTCTTGTTTGGTTGGGTTTTTTTTTTTCTTTGACTGTGATATAAAGTAATTTAGGTGGCCTAAATTGATATATGAACATATCACTATAAAATTGCCCTTATTGTTAATTTCAAGATATATCTCCTAGAAGTAAAATACAGTTGTTACTTAAGAATATATATCTGGTTTCCAAAAATAGTCAAAACATAATGATTAGAAATATATGTGAACAGGACAGTGGGGTACGAAGGTGAACATAAGTGTATTACAACATGCTTGGGCATCCTGAAGTGCTAAACTCACACACCACGAAATTGCATCAACCTTTCAATATATGAAAGAATTGACTTCACTGACTGATGCCAGATGTGGTGTTTGGGTTGGGTTAGGAGCCAGTATAAGCACCAGAGATTTGTTACAGTTTTTCTTCCCTAAAATGCAAACTTGTTATCAAGAAAGTTATAAGAGTTTGAAAATATACTTAATTTCTTTTAGAAATGAAATAACTGAAAAAAGTCTCCTTATTGCTAATTTCTACCTTTTTTGGTGCTGTGGGTGGAAAGAAAGCCCCGTGCATACTAGGCAAGACTTGACTGCTGACCTATACACCAGCCCTAATTCTGTAAACTCTAGAGGATTTTGCTGTTGAAAAAGTAGGACTAAAGTACATCCCTGTTTTAAAAACAGAAAATGTGTTCTTCATCTTGCTATCTTTTTAAGTATTTTATAAACCACAATGAAAGTCAACTATATTATTTATACCCATTTGACTCATTCAGCCAGTGTGTTATCTCCTACAGCACATTGGGTTTATGCTAATTTACAAGTGACTTTGCACCCTGTCCTCAAATCCATTTTCAAGTCACTTTATAGTTGAATATATTGAAGATAATAGACTGCCCAGGGACAGTTGGTAGCTGATAGAATCTGAATCCTAATGTGCTTCTACAAGGATGTTGTAAAGAAGAGAGGCAGAGCCAGTACTCCCAGGAATAAAAGCTAGGTATGAAAACAGTGCTGGTTTTGTTGTCATTTTGTTTTTAAGCAAACCCACAACCTATCACCCTAAAGAAAGAACAAGTGATCTTGGACCAAAAAAGGGAGTGGGGGACTTAGCATTCCCCATCTGCTCTGTACCAAGACCTCACCTAGGCCCCAGGGAAGGCCCTTTCTGTCTGTCCCCTAAAAAGTGCTCGACTAAACTAGAAGAAGCTTTCTGTGCCACAAGTCTCAGACACTAGAAGTGATGTAAAATAGAACTTCCATGCAGATAGTTCTTTTATAGACTTTGTTTTATAGCACATCTTTTTCCACAGATATATCATTAAGCTTTTTGCTTAATATAACCAAAACAGGTACATTTTGGTCAGTGAAAAGGCACAAGCAAAAGTAGCCAAGAAATGAAGGAGTGAGGAGAGATTTATTACCTGTAGCATGTTACTGCTGCCCAGAAGCTTTCCCAAGGCAGTGCTCCCTGCAATATGAGGGTGTCACTCAGGGAGCCTACACATCCGTAGAGGCAGGCATGTTCCTTTGCATGCTCGGTTACGGAGTACACCACTGAGCATGCCCAGTTTAAAGTCCTGCTTAGTTCAAGATTATAGAGCTTGTTTAAGTGGGAGCTGACAGAATGGCTCTGCAGGTAGAAGTGCTGTCACCTGTGAACCTGGGTCTCACCTGAAGAAAACCCACAGCAGTTGGAGGACCTCAATTCTCAAAAGATGTCTTCTGACTACACAGACTGAACTGTGACAGTCTTGCACGTGTGTCCCTGCACGAGTGCACAAAAGGACGTTTGAGAAGGGTTGAAATCAGGGATATTTTCGCAAGTTCAGCCTGAATCAGGAAGTTTGTAGATAGGAATATCTCTGGGCATGATCAGTTTTCTCCATGATGTTTTATTTTTTTAATTAAATTTTTATTTTTTTATATTAGTTACAGTTTATTTACTTTGTACCCCAGCTGTAACCCCCTCCCTCATCTCCTCCTTGCCCCGCTCTAAGTCCACTGACAGGGGAGGTCCTCCTCCCTTCCATCTGACCCTAGCTTATCAGGTATCTTCAGGACTGGCTGCAATGTCCTCCTCTGTGGCCTAGCAAGGCTGCTCCTCCCTCGGGGAGGGGGGTGGATCAAAGAGCCAGCCATTGAGTTCATGTCAGAGACAGTCCCTGTCCATGCTGTTTTAAATGACCAAAAAAAAAAAAAAAAAGATAATTTGAAAGCCCATTAATATAGGTATAACACTTACTTCAATTTGTTTTTCTAACTATAAAACTCTAACATTTGGGACTGGAGAAATGGCTCAGCAAATAAGAGTACTGCCTGCTCTTCTAAAGGCTGAAGCCACATGGTGGCTCACAGCCACCTATACTGGGAACTGATGCCCTCTTCTGGCATGCAAGTGTACATGCAGCTAGAGCACTCATGTCTGTAAAATAAATCTTAAAAATATATTTTGCTTTGTTCAGTTTTTGAAACAGGATCTCACTGTGTACCCAGACTTGTCCTGATGCTGACATTTCAGGCATGTGTGACCAGGACTGTCTTAAGAGACATTGGTTCCTACTTGCTGGGAGATTCGTGACACCCACCTTTAATCACAGGCAGAGGCAGGCAGATCTCAGTGAGTTCAAAGCCACCCTGGTCTACAAAGTGAATCCAGGATAGTCAAGGCTACACAGAGAAATGCTGTCTCAAAAAAAAAAAAAAAAAATTAAGTGTGTCCTTTAATGGATCCCCCAGAAATGGAGTTATGGCTACCATGTGGGTGCTGTGAACTGAATTCAGGGTCTTCTTCAAAAACAAGTTTTCTCAAACACTGATCCATCCTTCCAGCATCTTAATTGTTGTTACCATAGAGGACTTTGGGGGATGTTAGTTACATAGCTGCTGTAATAAAACATCATGTCCAAGGCAACTCATAGAAGAAAAGAGTTGATTTTGGTTTATGGTTCCAGACGGTGAGAACCCATACCGTAATGGCCCATAATGGTGGAGGCAGCAGGCACTATGTCAGAAGCTGAGGGCTCACACCACACTAGCCAGCCTACCACAGCTCCGCCAGCCAAGAACCCCAGCACCTAGGCCTGTGGAGGGCATCTCTCATTCAACTGCTGCAGGGGGCATGCTTGTTTTTCTGTTTGGAGACACAGTCTCGGAGCTCTGGTTAGCTTCTAACTCCCTGAGTAGCTAAGGATGACTTTTTACTTCCACTTCCTGAGTGCTTCCGTTGCAGGCGTGCATTGAACCGCCATGCCTGGTTTTAGGTTGTGTTGAGGATCCAGTCCAGAGCTCCATGCATGCGACAAGCACTTCACCATTGGGCTGTATTCCCAGCCCAAGCTTGTTGGTTTCTATTCAGTGGAACAAAAGCAGCTTTTCAAAAGATGGTGGGTGTGTCACAGTTCACAGAGAGCCAGTGTTGCAGTAGCATTCTGAGCTAACAGAACATTAAAACTGATCTTTCACACTTCATCACCCCGAATCCATATACCCTTGAAGTTCTCTCACTCATACACAAGAAAGAAGATTCAGAGCATCAGCATACTTACTAAGGAACTGAGGACATATAAGTGTCAGACAATAGTGGAATTAATTTCAGGCATCCACAGCACTGTGTGTGAAGCAGTAGCTGTGTTCTTGCAGTCCACTAATACACCGAGCCCCTAAAATAACCCTATAGGTAGCTGCCACTGTTCACTTCCCTGTTTGGGGCTGGAGAGATGGCTCAGTGCTTTTAGCACTCTTTTTGCAGAGAATTCTTACAGTTCTCAGCACACACGTGGCAGCTCAACTGTAATGGTAGTTCCAGAGACTCTGCTGCCCTCTTCTGGCCTCCATAGTACCAGGCGTGCACTTGGCATACACACTTATGTGCAGTCTCTGGCTCAGAGGGTAAAAGTGCTTACCGTCACACCCAAGACCTGAGTTTGATCCTCGGGGCCTCATGATGGAAGGAGAGGACCACAAGTTTTTTGACCTTCATACTTGATGTGGCATGTACACACACTCATACCAAGACACCAAAATAGCCTGGTGCGGTGGCACACACCTGTCATCCCAGCACTCAGGGAGGCAGAGGCAGGTGATCTCTGTGAGTTCAAGGCCAGCCTGGTCTACAAAGAGAGTTACAGGACAGCCAGGGCTACACAAACCCTGTCTCAAAAACCCAAAGCAAAAACCAAAAAAACTGTTTTACAGACAAGGGTATAACCCAATTCTCTTTTTCTAGGATGAAGCAAATTGTTCATTCTTCTGAATAATCTATGGGTTTTATGTTTTTGGTTTTGGTTTGGGGTTTTTTTGTTGGTTTTGTTTTTGTTTTTCTTCACTGCAAAAGGACTAAGCTGATTTCAGAACATAGTTTAGTGATTCTCTTTAGCTACAGGTTTTGCTTTGCTTCTGAGATGATCCCACTATATATCGTACCTAGAACTCATAACTCTTTTTCCTCTGCCATCTGAGTGCTAGAATGACAAAAATACCCATCTTAGCAACAGAAATACTGAGTTGCTTCCCAGAAGGCTTGTGTATCTTATACCCATGGCCACCTTTCCGTGTTGTGCTTTTCCTTGTAGTTTTGACATTTATTGTTAAGACTATTCCTAGATATTTGTATATTATTGTGTTTTGTTTATAGTATAAACAAAGTTTTGTTGTTGCTCTTGTCATCTTAACCCTCCTTTGTTGGTTTGTTATATCAGGTACAAAGAAAAAATCAATGAAATCAGCAAAAGACAGTGCATCTTCAGAGGAAGAAACTGAACTAGAAAAGCAAAAGGTAGAGCATGGTCATTGTTCCGTGTTTATCAGTGATTGATATGTGCAAGTGAAATTGTGTGGTTCACGTGAGTTTTCAGTGTCTCTAATTTTTAAACTGATTCTTCAAGTGGATTTTGTAAATCCATTATAAGATACATATTTTAGCCACATAGTCTTTAAGTGTTATCTTTACCAAACACTGTTTCTGCAGCTATTTACAAAGTTAGAGTTTCTCAAGCCCAGAGGATAGCCCTTTTTGACAGGAGATTTTTTCATTCGTGCCCTATAGTTTAACCAAAAAAGAAAATATGTTATTTGATTCTGTTTGAATCTAACTTGTACTACACTTTCTGTTTTAGCTTGTTAGATGCTAATTTCTCTCTTCCTATTAGTGAGTATAAATTTAATGTACAATGTTAAGTCTGGATTAGAGGTGTAATGATGGTTATGCGTAACCCAGTCATCCCAGAGATCCAAAGTCGCATGTGCTCCCCATGTGGCTCTGCACCTAAACACTGGCTTAATGTGTTTGACTGTTCCCCACCCGTTACAGATAGACTGTACACTTCTAGCTACTTAGAGATCTATTCATGGAACAGGGCTCTGTAAGGAAGGCATGTATCAGTATCCGTGATGGAAGGAAAGGAGTTTAAAGCATCTTGTGTGTAATAGAGGAGGGTGTGCAAAGGTCAGGAGCATGCCTGTATGTTTTCTCTAGAGCTTGTGGTTGTATGTGTGTGTGTGTGTGTTTTGTTTTGTTTTTTGTTTTTTTTTTGAGCTTGTGGTTGTTTAGCTGATTCTGGAGGGGTGTCTTTAATCTCTTGGTCAGTAGAAACAGAATGCTTGGTCTCAGAAGTGAAAGCTGAGTCTGCCTCATGAAAGAACATTAGTATTGAAAATGCAAGGAAAAAGCGAGCAGAAGATTTTCCTAATTGCTAAAGTATGCATCTGGAAACTGTAATTTGTATCAAAAAGTAAATTTCATATTATTACTTAAAAAGAACAGTGTGAAAATGAAATGTATTTGACAGACCTGGGGCCCTTGTTCCTTCTGCCTGCTAATCAGGATACTCTACAGGAATGGAAGTCTGTCTTTTGAATAAAGGCTATTTCCTCCTTCCCTGTAGCTAAAGCTCATACCACAGCCTGGAATGAACCTAAGCTGTGTGTCTTGGGCCTCTTCCTATTCTCCATTCATGAGGATGAGCAAGTCTCAGAATAGCAATTAGGAAAACTCAGCTGTACATTTGCGTTTTTGTTTGTTTTTCTCTCCATAGGCTGAAATGGCTTTGCTTGTAATGGATGAGGAAGAGGATAGTAAGAAGCATTTCAATTATGACAAGATTGTGGAGCACCAGAATCTGAGCAAAAAGAAGAAGAAACGGCTTATGAAAAAGAAGGAGTTACTTGAGGATGACTTTGAGGTAACCGTCAGCACAAGTATTATTACCTTCTTGAAGGGGAGCTAAATCTAAAGTCAGCTGTTGACGTAGAAAGGCATGAAGCTATCGTAAAAAGCCCTTCTCAAGGCCATACAGTGCCAGCTCATCCAGAGTGGATCCCACCACTGTTCTCTGGGGAGCGCTAGATGAGATAGTTACCTTAAATCAGGTAGTCATGTTACAAGAGACCTCTGTAGCCTTTAAGAGGGACAGCCAGAAGCGGGGATGCTCATGGTGTGCGGGCTCAGCTGAGCATAAAGGGCTGGCATGTCCTTGGGCTCACTCTTGCTGAGGACAGTAGCCACCGTGGTGGGCCAGGCTTTTCTAATTTCTGTGTATATTGTTGCTGTCAGTCATCAGCTTTCTTCTGATGCTGAGTGTGTGGTCCTGATGGCCATATGCGTGAGTTTGGAGCCTGCCACAGAAAACTTTCAAATAGCCACTAAGATTACTTAACAGTTTGCATTAGTGATTTGGAATAGAAGATGGGTGAGTTCTGAATTTGGTCAAAGTGGAGGGAAGGACATAAACTCCTTTATAGCTTGTAGATGGATTGCAAGGTCACTATTGCTCCACTTTTTCATATACACTTCTGCCCCCATGAAGTCTCTGATAAATTGGTTTTCTCATGAAGAAAGTAAAGAGCGATTTCCTATTATGAGCTTTACCTTCACATATAAGTAATCATGCACAAAATAGTTTTCGGAGCTGGCGCCGCGGCTCAGCGGGAGCAGCGTTTGCCGCCGACCCTGACAGCCTAACTCAGTGGAAGAAGAGAACCAGCCCTCGCGTGTCTTCTAACCTCTCCGTACCACGCAAATTAATGATCTTTCTAATTTTTTTTTTCATGAGGTCTGTGGAGACAACTCAGTGGTAGGGAACTTGCTGAGCCGTGGTGGGACCCGAGTATGCATCCCAGCTCTCTGTAAAAGCTAGGAGCAGGGTACATCTGTGACCCCAGTGCTGCAGGAGGGCACAGGAGGAGCCCCGGGCGGACAGGCCGGTCCAGGAGCTCCAGCTCCAGCTCCAGCTCCAGCTCCAGCTCCAGCTCCAGCTCGAGAAACTCTCAAAAGGCAAATAGAGAGCATTAGGGAGGACACCTGACGCCAGCCTCTGGCACCTGCAGGCCCCGTACATGCACCTGCACACTCAGAGGCCTCAAGTCTGTTGACGTCACTGTAGCTAAGGAGACTCAGGGTGTTCTTTGTTGCTCACCGCTCAGCCCGGCTGGACGGAAGGGTACGCTCTTCAGGGGAGAACCATACAGCTTTTTGTAAAAACAAAGGATAAACTTAGGCCTTAAATCTTACCAAGTCTTGGACTCAAGTGGATTTCTTTTATTTTTGTTTTTTCCCCTGTGGTTCCAGAGTGATTGAACCTGGAGTTTCAGGCAGGTTTAGGCAAGCGCCCTAGCACTGAGCAGCATCTGCAGCTTCCATTTTGCATTCTATTTTGAAACAGGATTTTGCCAAGGTGGCCTCGACAGCCTTCAGAGCAGCTGGGATTACTGCCCCATGCCACCAACCTAGCTGTTGGCTACTTTTTCTTGACACCATGTTTTAAATTTCTTAAAATGTACTCAGAATGCAGTGACTTAAACTCCAGGCAGTTAGACAGTGTCCTAATTGACGTATGCCTGATGGACAGAAGTCAGTATTATGCTAAGCAAGAAGTGGAAGCCCTGCCTCAGATACCACTCCTCTCTCTAGTCAAAGTCATTACCCAGGCTGGAGACCACAGTACACACGGGGCTGTGCCTGCAGGTGCCAGAGGCTGGCGTCAGGTGTCCTCCCTAATGCTCTCTATTTGCCTTTTGAGAGTACACACGTGGGCCACCATTCTTCCCTTTCAAATACATGCGTACCCTGCATGTTGTCATTAAAGGGCAGACCTTAAAATTCCAGGGAGTCTGCCGGGGACATGGTGGCACATGCCTATAATCCCAGTTCTCAGGAGGCCAAGGCCAAGAGGATCCTGTGTTCAAAAGCAGCAAGTTCCTGTGCAGTCTAGACTTAAAAGACAGACTTTATCTCAAGTAACAAACCAACTGGACCTTTGAGATTGTAGAGGATGGCCCCGAGGCCTCTGTGCACTGCGTGCGCTTGTGTTCTGATAGCCAGCAGCGCCTTTCTTTACGTGTCTGTTGTCTTTGAATTTGCAGGTGAATGTTAGTGACGCACGGTTTCAGGCAATGTATACTTCACACCTGTTCAACTTGGATCCCTCTGATCCGAATTTCAAGAAAACAAAAGCTATGGAAAAAATCCTTGAGGAGAAAGCCCGGCAGCGGGAGCAGAAAGAAGACCTGCTTCCTCAGGCAGTAGAGAGAGCGCAGCCGGACACAGGAAAGCCAGCACAGAAGCAGCAGCAGCAGCAGCAGCAGCAGCAGCAGCAGCGGCGGCGCATGGATCCCGCCTTGTCCATGCTGATTAAATCTGTGAAAAACAAAACAGAGCAGTTCCAAGCCAGGAAAAGGCAGAAGGTCAAATGACTGGGCATGGCCTCTGTCACCTCCTTAAGGACACAGAAATAGTAGAAGGGACACTGGGAATAAAGCCACTTTTCTAGAATATGAAAGGTATCTTTCTCTGACCATTGTAAAGCTGCTCTTCGCGGCTGGAGCGGTGGCTCCACAATAGAGTCTGTCTGGCTTTGGTTCTCAGCACCCGCGTGGCAGCTCACAGCCATATGTAATTCCAGTTCTGTGCGATCCAGTGCCCTCTCCTGGCCTCCATGGGCATGGTGTGCCCATATAGTGCATACACAGACATAATTGCAGGCAAAATATTCACACACATCAAATTTAAAAATAAAATTAGAAAAAAATGTTCCCCTTACATAATTGTTCTGCCGAATTGTAAATAGTTCATATTTTATACCAATATCAATTATATTGATAATTCTTTTATTTATAAAAGTGACTTATTTTTATTAAATTCTTTTATTTATAAAATAATTATCAATATAATTACAAACATTATAGAATTTTTAAAATGTATATTGTATGAAGTTCATTTCCTACAAGGACAAAGTTACTCTTAATTTAGCTTCCTACAAGACTGCTTAGATTCTTGTAAAATACTGTCAACTTTTCTCTGTACAGATTAAAAACAAATTGAAAATATATATATATGTAGTGCCTTAAATCTCTCTGAAGGCAGGGGACAAATCTAAGTAGTTATAAAATAACTTATTTTCACCAGGTCTGGTGGCACACACCTTTAATCCGAGACAGAGGCAGGTGGATCTCTGTGAGTTCAAGGCCAGCCAGGGCTACACAGAGAAGCCCGGTGTTGAAAAACCAAATAATAATAATTTATTTTTCTAGTGTAAAGGATGGAAGCTGTGAACTTTTTTGTGTGTTTAGTAATTCGCATGTCGAACTAATTTATGAATAAATGTGCAAGATGTTTTTACTAGTTTGTATAGCATTGGTTTGTTTCATTGTATGCACTTCAAGCAGACAACTCTGGAAAAAAATATCTGAAAGTATGGCTTCAAGTCTTACAGAAGACAGTTCTGTGGAAAAGCAGCTTCATTTTTACATTGCCCACAATTACATTTGAAATGTTCATGGACTCTGCAGTTTTCCTATTTCCTCCTGTCCTGTAGGTTTTTAGAATGTTTTAGAAGGGTGGGTATGCTGGTATAAAGTTTAAGAACCTCTAGTTCTTTCTGAAGTTAAAGGACATCTTCAAGACTAGTACCTTCAGACTTGCCCCTGATCTAGCTCTTATGAACTGTTATCTGATCCCTCACATAGGACTGGATGTGCTGTGTATAAAGAAAGAGAGAAAAGAAAAGTAGGCTGGAGCAATTAAACACACAGCCCCTTCTAAAAGGAGAGTACAAATTTTCCAGGTTTTTGTTTAATAAAAATTTGCCATCTCTAATATAAAAACCAAAGCTTACCAAGAAAAAAAAAATTTTAGAATCAAAGCTCAGAGCAATATCAAGATCATGGCACTTTAAACAGTTTCTGAAATAGGAAGGAAAAAATGGCACCTGTTAGATAAATTTCTGGTTATGATGGAGAGCAATAGCGGCTTCAAGCAGGATTGCCTTTGTGAGAGAACACCCAGCTGGTCTCTCCCCAGATAGTGCTCAACCTGTGAACTTCCCAGTGCGGACAAACAGGAGGACAGTTCTAACCTACTTCATGCTTCTCCAGGAAACTGGTTACTTTTTGTTTGTTTTGTTTTTGAGATGGGGTTTCTCTGTGTAGCCTTGGCTGGCCTGGACTCTGTAGACAGGATGGCCTGGACCTCAGAGATCTGCCTGTGTCTGCCTCCCCATGTGCAGTGTACCGCTGTGACCGGCTAACTTGTTACTTCTAATTCAGGTCAAGTACAGGCTCTGGTTGGTTTGGTTTTTCTTCAGGGGCAGGTAATGAACCGCAGCCCGTATGCGCTAGGCCAGTGCTCTCCCTCCAAGCTACATTACAATGCTTGGTTTGCTGAGCCAGGGTCTTGCTGTGTAGCTCAGGCTGGCTTTCAACTCAGATCTTCCTCTGTCTCTTCCAGTTAGCTTACAGGGCAGAGCCACCCTTCTGTGGATTTGATGCAGGAAAAGTGAAGTCTTTGTGTTCAAAGAACTTTCCTCTTGTCTCGGGACCTTTCACTCAAGGGCGGAAGCCAGGCACTCTAGGTCACAAAGAACTTCCCCTAAGGCAGTGCCTTCCAGAGTTCTCATGTGGTGAATTCAAAGAATGAAGCTGATGGAACACAGAGGGCGAGTTACAAGTTGTAGATCCACAGGCGGGACCTCTGGAGAATGCAGAGCTCTTGGCCAGCTAGAGTTCCATGCGCTATCGCTGAGCTAGCCTGGGGTGTTGAGAGGGCGGACAGTGGGGCGAGGCATGAGGAGGTGGTCCATCTCTCAGGTTGGCCCACGCACGAGGCGTCCAGGCATCTCCTGAGTTGGCACATCCTCCCCTTTAGCATCCAGGCACGATTAGGAGATAACACGGAACCAAGGACAGGAACTTTAGGCAGTCCTGGCCTTCACAGACGAAAGAACTGCTCCTTGGGGTCCCTGTTCTGCCTACCACCAGTCTCCACCCCAAGTTCTCAGCCGTTTCATTGGTATGTTTGTTTGTTTGTTTGTTTGTTTGTTTGTTTGTTTTTCTTTCTTTCTTTTCTTTGAGAACCCTTTGTCTCCAAGTTACTGCTTACACTGCAAAAGCTCCTTTTACTAGTGAAGTGAAAAGTTGAATGAGCACATAGGCCTGCCTCCTTTTCTAATCTCTTTTATTTTGTTTTTGTTGTTTGAGACAATGTTTTTCTCTAGCCCTGCTGTCCTGGAACTCAATTTGTAGACCAGGCTGGCCTCCAACTCAGAGATCCACCTACCTCTGCCTCCTGAGTGCTAGGATTAAAGACACAACACCCAGCTTCTGGTTTCTCTTATCAAAAAGTGAAACAGAAGACAAAGGTGTGGCACACAAAGCCTGGGGAGGTGGTGGCTCACACCTTTAATCCCAGCAGAGGCAGAGACCTGCCAGTCTCTGGAGTTCAAGGTCAGCCTAGTGTACAGAGAGTTCCAGGACAGCCCAGGGCTACACAGGGAAACCCTGTCTGGGGGAGGAGGAGAGGAGTTACATCTACCATCACACTTGACAGTAAAATACTTCCTAAAACAAACAAGCCAAAGATAGCCACGCCCACCACCCTTCAGGGCACTACAAGAAGTTCTCGCCTCTGAAATCAGAGAAGCACACAGATTGGGAAGAAAACTCCCATTAGAGATGACCTGGTGTTATCTACATAGAGAGCACCAAAGAACCCACAAGAAGCAGTTCCATTTGTGTAAACTAATAGTGTCTATATTATAACATAATACATGTGATACATAATTACAGTATAATGATATAACAAAGTAGAGACTCCACAAAATGGTTTGGTAATTTCTTAATAAACATACATGCAATTACCATGCAACTAGTCAGTTGCACTCCTGAGTATTTGTGAAAAGTGGAAATGTTTTGATGCAAAAAGTCTCATAAGAGCTGGGAATGTCCCTCAGTTGGTACAGCTGGTTACAGGAATGCTTGAATCCTGGCTTCAGTATGCAGCACTTAACGCTGGGAGTGAGGGCACCAGCCTAGTCTCCGCACTGGAGGATCCTCGGTTACACTGCAGAGGAAGAGAGCTCAAGATCATCCTCAGCCATCCCGGTTGCACGGCCTCTCTGCGTCTTGTTGCTGTGATGAAACAGGGACCAAATGCATCAAGGGGGAAGGGATTGCTTCACCTCCACTTCCACATCTCGGTCCATTGCAGAGGAAGTCAGGGCAGGAATTAAGGCAGGGCCTGTGGAGGGGTGCTGCTCACTGGCTTGCTCTCCTCCACTTGTTCAGCTTGCTTTTTATTCAACCCATCTATCCAGGGATGGCGCCACTCATAGCGGGCTAGAATAACTTATTAATGGAGAAAATGCTGCACGGATTTGCCTACAGGCCGATCTGGTGGAAACATTTTCCCAGCTGAGGCCCCTTCTTCCCGGATAACCCTACCTTGCTGACACGCATTAACAAAAACCCGCGAGTGCAGTCCCCAAAGACTAGGTGTGGGAGGGGGGGGGGCATCTTCCATGGAATATTTATTCTCTCCATAATCCACAGTTAATAGAATCACTTAGTTAAGCATAGTGCTCTGCACCTTTCTCCTGATCCCTGTTCCATCACACCCTCTTTTTAAACAAGCCCTTAGTGGGCAGGCTGACCTCCATGCGGACATGCTCCAGCCTCCGGCTTAATACAGAGTTTCCCCTAGATGAGTACTCATTTACCCAACTTTGTCCTCCAGTTGTGGAAGCAAAGGAAAGCTTCTCTGGGATCTTTCAGCCTGCACACTGGTTAATCTTGCCTCTGGCCTCCTTCCTTCCTTGCATCCCATTGTGTGGAATGCAAGTATAGTAGCTACAGCTTCTGAAGCCATCTTGGATCCTAAAGACAACACCTGTTTTTGCTGTCTAAGGGTAAGAAAGTAGCAGGCTGGAAGTGACTGGGAATGTAGAGGGCATTGCAGAGCCAGCCACCTGTCATCCATGGGCTCGATGGGGAGTAAAGGTCAAAGTTTAGCACTAAAAGCAAGCGCCTGGACGTGGTGGCACATACCTTGAATCCAGCACTCAGGAGGCACTGTCGGCAGCTCTTGGAGGGTGAGGCCAGCCGGGGCAAGAGTACCATCGTGTTCCTCAGGTCACAACTGCTTCTCTTTCATCTTTATCCCGTTTAGTACAAAGACCAGCACAGCAGCTTTAGAACCTTTGTGGCCCGTATTGCCCGGTTATTGTTTTTTTCTGAAGCAGGGTTTCACATAGGCTACTGCACCCTGAGCCTCTGAGCCTCCTGCCTCTGCCTCCCAACTCCTGGAGGCACACTCCTGATCCACCATGCCCAGGACCTGCGGCACCGGTAAAGCACACACTAGGCAATGTGTGCTGACTTAGCTATGTCCCAACCCCACTGCTCCATATTCTTAAAGCAACCTTTTCTATTTCACGGTGCTCAAACTGTCTGCAACCTGCACTTGCTGGAACAGAATGCTTAGAAACTGAGGTTTCCAGATGTCTGGATGTGGACATGAGTCAGGGGAGGTGAGACAAACTCCCCTAGAAAGCAGCTGGGAAGCTGGTGTGCCGGTGTGCCCGGCGTTCTGGCTCCAAACTTTCTCAGTCCCTCTGTTCACATCATCACCTTCCTCCAAGCATCTGTGAAGGCACACGGGAAACTAAGAAGTATGTGACTCCACGCCGAGCTGTAAGTGTGGGTTCTACGTCACCCCAAACTTGCCAAGCGGTGGAGGCAAAATCTCTTCCCGCTGTGACAGTGCCAGCACACACAGACCAGCTCCAGTGTGCGGGGAAGACTGGGAAGCAGCTGCGTGGGGCT